GCATATGACCACCCCATTGGTCTATACATGGAATTGTTTTTCAAAATAGGCAAAAAAAGGCAGTTCTAAAATGGTCAGTATGTGGCTGCCAAGAACTAGTCAATGAATCATATTTGCAGTTGCGAGAGTTCATTGTTCTTCAGCTCTGAATCTGGCCTTTTCCCCTAAACTGTGGCAACTTGTAATGATAATGGATAGATGATTTTTCACGTTTCCTTGTTCTATAGGCAGCTTGCACATTCCACTTGGTATTTAAAGAATGGTTAGAAAAACAGAAAATTTAGTGTACAATGTTACATATAGACCCTCTACATCATAACCTTTCCTCAGTAAAAGCCTTTTTTTCTTTTGCATTAATGTTAAGTGCTGACATCTATCCCTCAAAAGATTACTTACGTTCACCTCATGAATGTTTTTTAAAAATATATTCCCCAGAATGGTGGGGAGTGTGAAATCCAACCTAATATAGAGAATACAGTACCAATGTCCCACTGTAACTATAAAAACTTTCTGTTGGTGTTCTGGCCTTCACGCTGCTCCTCTACGATCACAATATTGCTATGGTTATGCGTTACAACTCATTTATGTTTTGTCCCCTGTACTAGAACACGCATCTGTGGGATTTTTCCATAGGACATACACCTGTTGGACTCGATGATCTTAAAGGTCTTTTCCAACCTAAATGATTCTATGATTCTATACATCATTACACCAGCAGCATAACATCAAGGTAACCTCTGGAAAAGGGTTTGATGGGACAGAACTTGAAAAAATTAGTTCAAGTCAACGTTTCCCACTGCCACAGTATTCCTGATTGGTACCTACACATTTATTTGGCAGTGAGTTTTTACACAAAGTTGAACATCTGTAGTATTTGGAAATTGGATTTGTCCTTTAAATTCTTACGAAAGGAAAGATGGAAGAAAAAGAGGTGGAAAGAGCTATACAGAACCAATGCATAATCAAAAAAAAAAATTATCCAGGCTCTGTAAGTGAGATTATCAGCAGTGCAGAAGGTCAAGAGAAAAAAATTGAATTTGTGTCAGGGAAAACGGAGTGCGAAAGAAAGGGGAAAGAAGCCACATCTGAAGAAGGATTTTGTGACTGCTTAAGTACTGTGAACAGCACAGTGACTATTTGTCATCCTGGAGTGTGTTCTTGTAAACGCCTCCAACTTTTAGTATATTATGTGGCTTGTAACTGTGTTCAAACACCATACTTCAGGCCTGATCCTGCTCTCAAAAGAAACTAGTAACAAAGACCTCAGTGCAAATAGCTTTTTCACCAGTACACAGGTGCATGTATTTGGGAGGATGTCTGCCTGCAGTGTGGAAAAGTAATAAATCATGCAAATGTGTTAAGTTTTACTTTTGATTTTTAGTATACAGATTTGGCTAGCTAAAAATGAGAATATTAGCTGCCTGTATAGCTATACTCTAGGTCTTGGATTTTATTAATGAAAACGCACAGTAAGTGGTTTAAACCCAATATTAAAAGCTGTGCTTCAAATTCTAATTGCATATTGGGGCGAGAATCGGTCTTAACAAATGACCTGGTAATAAGGCAATGGAATTATAAAAGTCAAATATTATAAATAATATGGCCAAAGCCTTACTATTTTATAGAGGCATATTCAGTTACAATCTGATTCTAAGTATAGAGATATATTTACATTAATCCCTAAAAATATCTGCATAGTTTTATGGGTAAGCCTTTATATTGTGGAATTCCTTTTGCAAGCCCAAGCAGGAGAACAGAGCAGCGGAAATGTAGGAATGAAGGACAGGTGCAACCAGCTACGAACGGGGGAAGTGACAGGGCACGGCAGGACTGCAGCGAAGGCGCGCACTCGGCCGGGCACACAGCTTCTCCCCACTTCCTCACGTTTTCCGGTGGCAGCGTGGGAGTTTGAGAGAGGCCTGCATTCCCAGCCTTTCTTCTAGGGGAGTAGAAATTATTGGACTCTTAGGTTCGGAGGGGGTAGAAGGGAGGGAACTCTGTGGGTATTAAAGTTCTTTTAGTCAATAACAAACAAACTAATTAATTTTGGTATTTAACTAGGTTAGGTTTGAGTTGGATCAGCTTTCCAAACCAGCTCACAAGACGCCTCCGCAAACAGGGCTACACACAATTTGAGGCTGGGGGTTGAGGCAGGAATGCAGAGTTGAAGAGAGATGAGGAAACCGAGACAGAACCACGAGCTGCACTTACATTTACATTTAAGCTACAGACCGAGAAAATACGTGTGGCAGAACAGTCCTGCCACACTGCAGGCTCATTCAAACCTTCCATCTATTGCAAGGCCTGCGAGGGCTAGTTCCCACTATATAAAACATACCACATGATGCCAGTGTCACCTTCGTGGAGCTAATGGGGTGGGGTGGCTGTCCAGAAAATGGTTCACAAGTTTTAATAGATGTTCACTTTCTGACCAGGCCAAAACAGTCTGAATTTGAAATTTAATTGTAAAATGGAAGGCAGTCTTAGACCATATCCAGCTCCACTGAAGATGTAAGATCTTGCTGTAGGCTTCAGGGAGGATCCTAACACAGTTCCTATTGATTGTTGCACTTAAAAAACCAAATTGGGTCAGTGGGAAAAAGATCTTTTAATACCATTTTTGCTATTACAGGTTATCATGGAGTTAATTTTAACCATAACTGCTTTTAATTTCCAGGATCATCTAAGATTTTGCATTATCGTTCATCTTTAGTGGCACAGGTAAATTAATTTCATCAACACTGATTTATTAGCATTCTGCAAAACAATGTTTATTAATTTCTCTGTAATTACAAATACAGTTCTAAATCTTACAAAAGCACATTGCTTATAAAAAGCACAGCTGTTCAATCAAAACACATCAAGCGTTCAGTCATTATACGGAAAAATGCTATCTTGTAGGAGCTTCCTTAAGTAATTTATCAAATGCTAAATTGATTAAGAAGTTTTGGGCCAAACTCTCTTGATGCAAATACAGGATTCCTTTCTCTGTGTTAATAAATCAAAAGGCCCTAAGGATGTATTTTTCTTTTAAAAGTTGTCCTTTTAATGGGCTGTGTGAGTACACAAACTTTACGGCTACGACTATGATTTAATTTCCATTTCTGGCCTGCATGAAAAGTTTCTGTACACAAATTCCGACAGCAATATCAGAGAATATTTTGGTTCTAGGCCCTAGTATATAATAACTTGAAATATCTGCCATACAAATCATAAAAACGTGCAAACGAAGGATATGCTTTCTCGGAACAGCACTTTATTTTGATCAGTAAGTGATCACTATTGCTTTATAATGATTAACTATTTTACTGATAATACAATGGATTGTTCTTGAATTTTTAAACGAAGTTACTATTTTTAAGGAGATGGATGAGTACATGACAGTCTTATTATTACTGTATATGCTATTTTTCTTTATAAGCCATCAAACTGAAAACAGCAAAAGTTTAAAGATTTGTCACACAAAGTAGCAAAATAGCCTTGGATTTTAAGTTTTTTAAATTTTATATTGCTTATTTTTCATTGTATAAACCGATGTGATAATGCAACCTTTTTGTAATTAAATGATGACAGCTTGAAATAAAAACTGTTTGTCAAAAAGTTTTCAGACTTTTAGACAAGATTTTTAATTCTGAAACAATTTCCATGATAAGGAAAATACTGAGCACACTGAGGTCAATGGCAAAACTCCCACTGTCATCATTTAAACCAGTTTCATTCAGTGAGTTTATAAAGCAAAGTAATCTTCTAAAAACAAGCCTAAGATTGTATCCTTAGTTTTTAAGATAAGATTATGTAGTATGTTTAGTAAAAGGGAGAGCATATTCAGCTTAAGGTGCTGAATCATGGACATTCACAGCCTGATTGAACATGAATAGCTCACCTAAGCCCTTCGAAACATATATTTAACCTGTTTGGGTTTTTTCCTGGACTCAAAAATTTTGAATCCTAAATTCAGTCAATAGTCCAAATCTCAATATTTAAAAAAAAACAATTTTTATGTATTTTATAAAACTATACTAAACACGAATCTTCAAACTGGAAAACAAAGGAAGAAACCCATTATGAATAGTTAAAATGTGCAGTATCCTGTTTTTTTAATAAATATATATACACACATAGAATCTTATTCTACAGCTAGTAGACAGCCAATTTCTTATTTGTGAAAACAGAAATGCATATAATATAGAATCCTTCATATCAGAAACAGCTTTTAGATACCTTTAATAAAGGCACAAAAGCTTGAACTCTTCAGCCTCTGCCTAGTCATGCTTCATATTTAAAATATATATCAAAATTAAACAAATGTCAAAGGTTTAAAGACATTATTATAATTCTACTATATGCTCTGGAGATTTACTACAGGTACTTACAGACCACAGTCATTGTGTTTCTCAGCGACTTACAGCGTGAGCAGAGTCCGGTCATTGACAACAGCTTAATGGACAAAAGATAGACCTTCCAGCAAGATAAAAAATGTTTCAGTTGAACCCACTATTTTTTTAATAAATTAATTCAGTCATTCTCAAAACCCTAATATTCTTCTTTCCCATTTAAACATGGGACCAGTGATGATTCTTAACTGGAAGTTTCTGAGTAAAAGGAAAAGAACCATTGAGAAATTCTGAACTTTGATAGGTAGCCACAATCCAAAATTTTAAAACACTGGAAACACAGACCTTAACCAGCTTTCAACAGCTCATCAGAAAGCCACTGAGTAGAAATAAATGATGGCTAAATTACACCTTGTTCTAAAGGATTTATATTTTTCTTTACATACATGCCAATATTTAAAAAGAAAATTTGAAGAATAACGTACAACATCATCTTTACTAAATTTGTGAGAAGTTACATTATAAAGCATAATTGATCGAGGACATCCCCCCCCCCCCCCCGCCCCTGCAGAGTACTATAGCCATCCAAGGTCAAAAAATAGAGTAGAGTCCAGTGAAAGGAAACTCATTTCAATTCTTCAGATGAAATCCTATCCACGGTAATGTTCAGTTCCATTGGCATGAGCAGTCTATAGGCTCTTGAATAACGTACATAATTTCACTGCCATTTCCTGAGCAGTATAGTGGCACAGTCAGATTACGTGTTCCATTTTCTCGACAACATTTACAGAATCTTAAATGGCTGTCAATATTGACATTGAAAATTGTTGCAGATGGGCATTTTCCGTCACAAGAAGCCACGTTTATCTACGAGTAAAAGAACTGAAGTTAGACATCTCAGAATTTGTTATAAAGATATTACATTTCAAACTTCTTTGTGATTGAAATCCATTTTTACATTTGAAAAGGACTCGTCTTAAAAATTATTTTATCTTCTAAAATTCATTCATTCTAAGTGTAGACACATTTTTGATAATTTTTTTAATTAAACTTTTTTTTGGTTGTTTAATCATGTATTCTGTCTTAACCTTGAGCAAAATGTTGTGCTGTGGATGCCAAAATCAAATCCCTAGTTTACAAATTAATAACTTCAAAACAGCATAGATAAATCCATGTTCTTTTCATGTTCACTGCTGAAAAGTTAAATTCTTCTAAGCAAAACGAAGGAAAGTCTGTCCTTCTCCTTGAAGGTTCAAGAGGAAAAGCATATCAGTGCAAAAGCTTTTCCCTTTCTTATTAATACTGCTTGTGACTAAGGGCACACCAATATTAGCTGTGTTACCACTGTAACAAATATATCCAAAAAGTAGATGCAGTAACAAACCAGCAAGGGCAGAGACTGGCTATAAAATTATTTGGGCTCCAGACTTCAGCAGAGCAAAGCTTTCTCTCACTATTACGTTATGTGAAGAGTCGTCTTAGCCGATAACTCTGACAGAAAATAAATTGATACTTTTTAATTAAAACTTAAGCAGAGTTGATATGCTGGGAAATCGAGAACAGCCATACTAGATCTAGTTCTTTTTGTGATAGTTTTAAATCTGATTTCTTATGCACGTGAGGCGTATGAAAGCTGCTTTGATCCACTCCCTTCCAAACAGCCTGTGAACAAATGGGCCATATCCAAACAAGTTAGACCAAAAGGTTACTCTGACAGCTTTCCTGAAATTTGACGGGGAAAAAAAAATGGCCTTCTCCTAAACACTAATAATCTCCGTTATTAATTAAATGTAATCCAGCTCAGCCCTATCCAAAGTTTGACAGCATTAATGTGGCCAAAGAACACATATGTAGTTCCAAACCAGCCATAGCAGATACCACCATCTGATGGGCCAAAATCACGTGATTGAAATAGAGTGCCAGGGGTTTTGCAGTGGGGGAGCTGGCGAGGAAAGGAAGTGGAGCTAAGGATATGAATAGAGAATTTGAGGACATGAGAATCTGGAGGTACTTCTGGGTGAAGGGTGAGGGAATCTGCACTGTGGGAAGGGTGGGCAGCCATCAAGGAAATGGGGAACAAGAAGATACTGGGGAAAGGGGGTTGTAATACGGATGGAGGTGGGATGGGGTAGGTCTTTTTGGAAGGTGCGTAGAGGGGGAAGGAAAGATAAAGAATCTATGATAGAAAGTCATAAAAAAGGCGGCTTCATTTGTTGTGCCATTCATGGAATGACCTGGCCAACATTCTCGTTGCTCCTCTCTGAACCCTCTCTAGTTCTGCAGCAATGTAGAGGGACCATAAGTGCACAGAGCACCCTCAATAGTACTGCACCATTGGCTCATAAGAGATACTAGAATGAGTTTGTTTCCACTCCCTATCCTATTCCCTAAATGTCATAACTCTTAGTTAGCCTTTCTGTCTGCAGGGGAGCATTTAACAGAGGTTTTCACAGAAGTGGATGCAAGGGCAAGGTCTCCTTCAGCTTGCTTAAAAACCTATGAGGTTTGACTAAATCTTTCTTTTTAATATTCTTTGCTTTAGTCGATACCATGTCTTTATTTTGTCATATTGCTGTCCCTCAATCTAGGTTGTTGAAGTAACTGTGAAGCTCTCCACAGTCTTTCCTCTTAACTATGGCAAATAACAGATTTCATCTACATATTTATACTCCCTCATTACCAGCCCTTCTTCTATAAATAAATACACCACACACTCTTACTCTACTATTAAACTTTGGGCATCTCACTGTTGACCTTCTATCAGGATGGAAATTAACGTTCTCAGCTTTCAATCTGTGATGATATTTTGCCTCTTTCCTTATGACTGTTTAGGTTCTTCAACAGAATCTTATCAGAGGCCTTTTGGAAGTCTCGAGATGCTGTGTCGATTGCTTCTCCTTTAAGTGCTACATGAGAAGCACATTTGCTGCTCGGAGATGTCCTGGGTTTTGTAGATGGGGCTACACCAAAGCTGAGAAATAAGATGTCTTAAGCAGACCCATAAATAAATGGGATCATGAATTTATGATATGGAGACACATGCTACGTGGAGGAGAAAGGCACCCAGAGAGTAAAGGTCTTCAAAGAGGAATGCATCACATCCTAAGCAGAAGCATTTCTACTCCTCTTTTAGAGTGGGATGTTATTTCATGGTGAAGAGTTCAATGCCTTTGTTAGTTACGAGCAATTATGCTGTGTACTTTTCATTTGAAGCCAGATGGTTTTCCAGGTAGGAGGGCTCAGTCTTTCAGCCATAGGAACAGCTAATTTTACTCCATTTACAAGTAGGATAACATTCCTAGGGTCAAAGATCTGCTTTTGAGAAGATAGCAGCATTTTTTGTTGCTTGTTGATAGCTATAACCCACTTCTTAATACTTGATTTGGTGTGTCATAGGCCGAGCATCAAACACAGGTCTTTTATGCTTACCGGGCTTTGACTTATACAGTCATTTTTTCTTATGGTTGTCCTGATCGTCATTTTCTGGCAAATCCTTTCTTCCTTTTTGCCTGATAAAATACAGAAAATGCATACTGAATCAATACACTTTTTGTACTGTGTTTGCTACTAAAAAAGTGAAACTATTAAAATAATTGTAATAATTATACTTTGCTTTCATTAATGTACATGCTGAAATTATTACTTCCATAATTAAATATTTTTTTAGAAAAAAACCCTCATATATTAATAAATACTTCCTGTGCAGAATTATCATTTTTATAGCTGGCACATATGAGGCATCAGGTGGCCCATTAAGCTATACAGATTTTATAAATATTAAAATATTAATATGATTTTAAATTGCGCATATGGCAAGGCAAATACAAGCAATTAGAAAAAATATATCAAGTAATTTTCAATAGTATTGGAATTAATGAATAGTATTGGAATTAATTCTGTTTTAATAGGAATATTGAATGTAAATAAGATTTTGATTCTGCATTTTAGAAAATTTTCAGAACTTAACATTTAAAAAGGTAAATCTGTGAATGTGATTACAACCTTGATGCTATTTTGAATGTTTACAATTCAAATAGAATATAATTTCAATATATTTTTGAGAAAGATGTCCTTCAAGGAAGCTTTGAGAGACATGCATGTATTTGCTAAATGTAGTGCAGTTTTTACCGCCAGAACTGAAGCACGTAGCGCTGAGTCGGCATATGGATCTAGGATTAGGGAAATACTGCATTTTTAAGTACATTCTGGGAGATATTGATAGGAGGTTTTTTTCTTTTATTTGGAAAAATAAAGCTGTACAGTGCAAAGCCATTTTTAACATAAAATACATAATATAATACTGAAACAATTAAATGTACAATCTTTCATGCTGCACTCCATATCAGACTGTTATTACTATCTGTGTAACAGCAGTTATTTAGATCTCGTATTTCACTACCCATCAAAATCGTCTATTACTTTTACTACACAACCATTCTGGACATCCAGCATATAAAATAATAAGCACTATCCAGCAGAGTTTCTCCACCTTCAGCACATGCCTTCACGGTTGGATGTACACAAAAAGAACACCTTTTCTGTTCCCCAGAAGCTTGTAAGCACTTTTATAAGATAAATGAGCTCTGAGTAACCAAGATATTCCACAACCACAGCTCCAGCAGGTATTTAAAAATTAGGCTGGCTGCAGAGTACAGCTAGATTTTAATCTATGCGTTGCAGGATCAAACAAGATTCTGTTACTGAACTAGCAGATCACTGTACGATCGAAGCTGTTAGCCTACAGCATCTTGGTTTTCCTTCCTCAGCAACACTTAAGAAAAAGAAGTCCTGTGATATTTCCATCAGAAAGCGCTTGCCAGCATGAATATGTGTAGACAACGCAATCTTTGTACTTCTACAAGTCATATAGAGAGATAGATGACGTTTCAGCGCATAAGGTGCTGATGTCTAATGAAAACTCTGCTGCTATACTTTTCTCTCTCCCACCTTCAACGGTCAAGAAGATCTGCATTCAGTACCAGGGGTGCTTTTTTTACTCACTCCTTATTTGAGTAAGGAGTTTCCGTGACTTACCTATCCTTAAAACCAAAGAATTATGATCATAATGCAACAGTTCTATAACATTCTGTAATTTCTGGTGTAAAGAGTATTTATTAATGCGTGGTTGAATTGTATGTTTTTTCCCCCCCGACATTTTCATAATTTTGTAAAACATGTTATTTGTGACAAAGAAGAAATACAGCATGGATCCATATCTGCAGAGGTGAGACCGGACAGTAATGCACACTCTTGCTCTATTTTAAGGCAAAAACAGTTCAGTCATTAAATTCAGAGACCTGGGATCAGATTTAGAATCTCTTGGTAACAGCATTCAGGATGATGATGTCATTTAAAGTAACATTTCTTATTACAACTACCTTGTACAGTAACTTCATGTATTAAAATCAATGTCAGAAATGAACAGGAGGAAGAACCATCAGCAGCATATACCATAAATGGATGAACCTAATTCTGACAGGTGCTGAGCAGTGGACCCTAACCAGGCTTTAGAAAACCACTGATCTGGGAGGCCAACAGGGGATCAGCATCTCTCAGTATCAGGCCCAATACCATTAACTGCGTGGTAATATTTAATGGTGATGACAGCTACACGCGTATATCAAGCAGTGCTTACGCTATTATTAAAAAAAGAAAATACATTATGAAAAGTAATACCTGGTTCACAATTAATACTATCAGTAGGCACTACTGGACTAATGGCAAAGGGTAATAGACCCAATCCAGAACCTGGCAGAATCATTAGGAATGTAAGTTTCTCATGAAATAAAAACATTTTTACATAAATGACATTTCATTAATTCTTACACTGCCAAATGCCATTTTTCTTTCAGCAAAAGATGATGAGCTTTCCTGTTAGTCTTCCAAATTTAGAAACTCTGCAGCTGCTTCAAGTCTCACTAAAGATGGCCTAAACTTTATTACTCTCCTGGTTAACACAAAACTGGAATGATGCTTCCTTGTAAACCAAACTTTTGCAACGAGTCTCTCTATGGCAAGGTAAGAATTAAATATATGCACTCACTTTGCATGCATTGAATCAAGCTCTTTCAGAAAGATTATTTGTTCCCATTAAAACCCCAAGGTGTTGCAAGCTCTATTTATAAGTACTCTTTTTAACTGCTTCACCACAGGGCACATGCTTTTAGTTAAAAATAAAACAAAATAACAATAAAATAGCGTGTAATTGTATGAACTATATCGGGTTTTTTAGCAGCCACCTCAGCAAGTATTTCTGAAGTATAACGATGCCTTTCCTGAGGCCACAGAATACGGCCAAATTTATAAATCTTCCCGGTCAACGGAAAACCAGTAGCCATTAATTCTTTAGAATAATTTTCTAAATAAAGCCAACCTAATTTGGGGGGTTTTAGTTAAATATTTTTCAACATAGCTTATCTCATTAGAGAAAGAGTATTGATTAATAAGATTTTAGCACAATTCTGGTGTGTTACTTTTCTCTGCTGATTCTCATTCAAAAAAAAAAGTATTTCCTTGCATTAAAATAGCTTTTATTTTCTATGTTTTGGATACACTAGAACAGCAATACTTGCAGTTCACTTTCAAAGCTTTGTATAACTTGGAAAATTTAGTATTTTTCTGTATTTGATAAATATGAATATTTCCCCTTATATCGCCAAATTATTTACAATACATTGCACTTCTGAATTTTATTTAATAACTGTGCAATATATGGTTATAAGTCTGTGACTTCCTATTCAATATTACTAAGTAAAGGTTAGTCTAAAAAAATTCCAAAGACTAATTTGCTTATGTATATGTTTTTTATATATATATATGTTATAGAAATAAGTCTAATGTTGAACACAAAATAGGCCAAAAAAGAGGGCGGAGGATTTTCTGTGGCATTCAACAAGTTCTTGCTCTACACAATTAGTTTTACACAACAGTGTTTTATTTTTATGTATACGTAATTATATATCTTGGTAATAAAACCTTTCCTAGGCAAAACTGCAGAGAACATCAGTTTGTTCTCAATTGACTTTTAAAATTGCATAAATTATGAAACCTTTATATAAGCTTGCATCACAATTCATCATATTTTGAAGTTACACACTCAGAAAATGTGAATGTATTCCCAGATATTAAAAAGTCAATTTTATATAAGGGTTGCTAACATCAGTATTACTATAACTTTTCCTCATTTGGGATTTAAAAAAAAAAATATTCCAGTATTTTGGCCCTAGAAAATACATACTAGTGGTACAGAATAAATTGGTAAGTTTGGAGACGTATTTCAAAACATCATCGAATAAGGAATCAATTTTAGGGGGGCAAAATCCTTATCTTCTATGGTGAAAATCATACAGGCAGTATTTTAGAGTCAGCTTAGCAATAAAGAGTATGTTTTCATTGTTTTAATCGAGATAGATAACTTTTCATCTTCCACAGGTTGTATTTGGAGAGATTTGGTTATACTCCAGAACAATAATGCTAAGAATCACCAAGTCAGCAGCCAAATGAAGCAAGACCTTTTAATAGGAGTAGTTAGGTAACTATAACAATTTTATGTGATTTGTGGGGGGACTGCATGCTTTTTCCTTCTTTATGTCCCAGCAACTGAGGTTAAAAAACAAGCCCTGCAAAACCAAAGCCAAACTAGCACATATTGCAGCCTTCATCACTTACAGGTCTTGCAGCAGCCATCGTTATATGTCTGCACAATTCCTCCATTCTAGGAAAATAAAAGGAGAATATATCAAAAAAGACTGTGCCCAACGCAAAGGTGAATTGTATCTCAAGACATTCCATGTTTTGAAGGTATCCAACTAATAAAAAATAGTATCGCTGAAATCAAGAGAATTACACAGTTATGATCAGCTGAAGGTTTGGTTCACAAATTCTTTACAGCCTTTGACATTGAAAATGAACTCGTCACTGCTTATCTGATCTGATCTAGTCTCCTTTGAATAAGCCATTTAGTTTCTATAAGCATCTTTTTATATCATCCATTACCATCTATTTCCCCACCACTGAGATTTATTAAGATAGTTTTTAAAATTCATGTATACAACTTTGCTGATGATGTAAAAGGATTTACACTGATCATATGCCGAGGAGAAAATTAATACTTAATAAGTAGCTCTTTACAACATTAAATATATATATGTATATATACACATTTTTGAAAGAGAACGTTAACTGCAGAATTTCAGAACCATTGGTGTGCTCAATTCTTTTTCTCAATTATAGTCTTTGTTATTGATTTCTTCTAAAGTTGCTTGTTAGCTAGAAAGTAAAAATGTATGAAAGTGAAGAAAACATCCTTTTGAATTTAAAAGAGAGTGGGGGCGGGGGGGGAGAGGGTGTCAGAATCTGTCAGAATGGGTGCAAGCAAGAAACACGCGCCCACAATTTTACTGCATAGCCTAGAACTGCATATCAAGCAGGCAACTGAACATAAATAGCACTCTTACAATAACAACAGACAAAAGACATTTTTCAGCTTCCGTCTTTTCATGCTAGCATGCGTTTTTTATCTCATTACAGAAAAATTACTGAACGAGTTGTTCAAGAACTTCTTAAATGAGCACTTAAACTCAGCCTTTTAAACCCATATTCCTGAATTATCCCGAGCTGCCTGTCAGAAGAACTTTCTCCTCAGCTACTGGTTCAAGTCTATGCTCAGCATCTCTGAAAAACAGGTCAGACTGATTCAGGAAGTTAATTTTAGGGCTCCTTTCTTTAAAAACTTAACTGTTATTACTAAGGAAAGATCCTAATAGACAGTGACAAAAGGGTTCCAAGGACAAAACTCGAGCATAAAGTCAAAGTAGAACAGGCATTAATTTTAGATAGAATTCCTTCTTCAGAATTGAAAGAAATAAGGACTTTTTTAAACAAATGCAATGGATAAGTAGGACTTGTGCTAAATTTATAATCTGTAGTCAAGGCAGAAATGGTACTTACCCTCTCTACATGTATATTTATTTGTAGCTTATGTTAAATATATGGTGTACTGAAAGTGCAAGAATTATAAGAAGTATTATAAAGTTGGAGAAGTATTAAATTAGGAATCAAAATTGTAAACAAACATGTAATATACATGAAGCATCCACATTCTTCAAACCGGTTTATACGGGTATGCCAAATTTACATTTTTAGATATATGATGTAGGTAGATACCCTTTCTTGTATGATAGATATTTTTTGTTACGTTAGTTGTTAGTTTAGTTTAAGAGATAATAAAGTTTAAAAATACTCTGTCATCTTTCTAATCTTTGCACAGCTTAAGGAATTTTTAATATAGCCCACTTTTATATGCGGCATTTCTGAATTGCTTGATCCAATTTATTTACTGTATGTGTACTACAAACTTGGCAAAGTGTTATTCCAAACTAAAGTAAGACATAGTGATTAGCACTTTATATAGTGGTATCTCAAGCGTGATTCCAATTCCACAATACTTTAAAATCACTCATCATTAAGACCCAAAACATTCATACTCCTCACAGACATTTTGTCAGTCAAAAAGCAAACAGGAACACAGAAAACAAGACTGTGAATTGCTCACTTACATGTTTTTACCTACCACTTTTTTAGTTTAAAGAAAGAGCATGAGGTATGCCTGCGTTGTCAAGTGTAAGCCAAACTCCAGATCAGTTACTGTCACTTACCTCACCCAAAGTACAAACCTTTGTACACTCAGTGTCATTAAAAGGGGGGCAGACAACACTCGATCCCAGTATGATGGCCCCCACAGCAGTCTTTGCACACTTGTAGTTGGTGCAGTTGGAGCTCCAGGTGCTTCCTTCCTGAATATATATAACAAAACCATTGTCAGGAAAGACAAAACATTTCAGCTTTATCTCCAACCCCAAATGTCTGTAAAAGTGGTGCCCTTATGCTGTATTACCTACTGGAGTGGAAAGTTTGTTGCAGACCACCCGTAGGCAGCTCTACTCTCCAGCATGCTGCTCAGCATGGGTGTCCTAATTCAGAACAAAAGGGCTCTGTGCCAGAAAAAAAGTCCGATAGTTTCTTTTGCTTCAAGAGCAATGGGAAGCATGAACCAAGTCATGGCCACGTCTAAATTTCCTTGTTATGTGGATGCTGGAACACACCATCAGGATCCTGAACCCCAGTGCTTCAGGTTGCACACTTCCTTTCTGTAGAAACCGGAATGAGGAGAAGTATGGCCCTTGGAAGAGGGGGACATAGGAGTCCTGATGTTGAGTCGGAAGCTCCCAACTCATCTAAATCACAGTATATGGTTTAGAGTTACAATTTGAACCCTACCCTGCACTTAGAGCGTATCCAGAGTTAAGTAAATAATGACATTCGCATATCTTTGTAGAAAATATTACAACCAATAAAATAAAATAAGGAATTCACCTAGTGTGAAATAGCAGGTCTTTAAATAAACACACTTTTTTCCTATCATATACCATAAATAGTCCCTAAGTACGTAACCACCAGTAAGGAGGTATGAAGCAAGACTCACAGCATGAGTTAACTAAGAAGTGACTGTCAGACACTTGTTTATCGTATCGTTATAGTTATTTCTATCTCTGTCCAGAGGCATTTACCTCATACACAATTAGTGTTCCATTCTCAGTATGAAAAGAGCAGGACACGTTTTGACAGGTACCACAACAAGTATGGTGACTGGAGGAAGGCATATATATTTGATGCTGGAAAGGAAGTAAAGCAAAAAAAGAAAAAAGTATTTTTTAAACATACAGTATATGAAAATTCATTGATTTCTGAAACTAAAAATGCCGAGAGAAACAATATACGGATGGATGGATGGATGGATGGATGGCTGGATGGATGGATGGATGGATGATGTTTATGCTACTAGAAATTGCCTCTCAAAATAATCCTGGAGACACAAGATACACATCATCACTGTTAAGTTCTCAAGTTCTTGCTGAGCAAACAGGACTAGCAAAAGTCTTCACTTTGGCTTTTATCCTAATGGTGTAGTTGTGCTTACAAATTGCATCATTCCCGTATTTTAAGAATACTCACAGCTTCACATTGCTGGGAACAGTTCACCATTGTAAAATGCATGGCATTGTATCCTGTGTTCTGATCTTTTTCTTGTAAACACTGTATAGTGTAACAAAGGTCTCCATCCAAGTACTGAATCACTGACTGTCCAGGATTCAGTACTGTGACCTCCTGGAAGATGCACACATCATCCTTCTCTAATACCAAAATAAATAAATGTTACCAGAGGAAAGAAAAATTCATCAAGCAAATTAACAGAATCGCTGTGAAGACAAAAGTAGGGCAAAGTCCTATGCTCCGCAAAAGTTTTCTAACTTTTAGATTTGATTGGTTTGTGGTTTTAATTACCAAACAAGGGGGGGAGGAGGTATAATTCAGCTTAAGAAAATGCTACAACATGCAAAACTGCCTAAAATTGATAGTGTTTATTCTATGGAAGTAAAAAAAAAAAAATCTGTTGTTCTTATTTTTTAAAGAGTTCTAATATTTAACATTGGGGTAAGTACACTATAGGAATTATTCTGTACATCGCAAAATGTAGCCTTTCTGTCAATTAAAATAATATGTCTACAATTACCTGTGGGACAGTAATATGCTCAAGCTGTACTGTGTGTGCTTTGCTCCCGGAGGCGGTTTAGCCTGGGCTGCAGTCAGGATTGCAGCATGCCTCAAGCACCCCCATGCACAGTACAGCTGAAATCTAGTCTACACGGGGTAGCTGAGTGAGGGAAGGGAGCAGAGGTCTGATCTTAAGACTGGGCACCTACCCTTGTGCTGGCTGGACAGGTCTGTTGCTGTGGTGTGAGATGTCATCTCATTTGTGCTCGATAGTGGACTAGGAGCAGTCGCACCACTCACACTCAGCTAAGGTTCACAACCTGCTTCCTATCTGCCTCTTACCAGAGAGACAGTACCTGTCTCTGAAAGCATGGGCAGTTTCACGACCCTCTTATGCCCCGCCAGAACAGACACAAAATGGATGGGTTAGCAGACAAAGCATCATATTCAGAAAAGAAAGCATAACTGCATAACTAGGTAGACACCCGTGAAATCAAGATAAAAGAGTGGTTACATTTGAGAAGGTTATTATGGTTCTTTGCATGCCCTTTTTACTAAAAACTAAAACAAAACAGATGATAGGAATATGAAAAAGTTACCACAAATGTAGTGAGTGCATCCACAAGCACTGGAAATGCTATTATGTATTTTTTTAACTTCTCCCTGAGTATAGAAAGATAAAAGAGTTTGCAAAGTCATGCACAATTAAATGTAGTGCTAAACAGACAGTTTTTCTCTAAAAATGTAAAATAGTACTTTCATTACTTCTACCCCTGCTTTCATAAAAGAGAAAAATTGCAATGTACTCAAGAAACAGTAGTACATTCAGAGTTGTTCAATGTATTTATCTCTTTAAACAGGAGCAAAGCATGTTATTTTCTCTAGAAACGCATATAAACAGCAAAGTGGCTAAACAGCAATTTTTCCTGAGATACAAAGTTATTTCAATAATAAAGACATTAGCAAAAGACTGCCTTCTATGAATTTTCTTCCAAAAAATAGGTGAAAACTATTCAAATTTGCAGCTCCTGTTTAGATTTTACATTACGCAGTCTTCACAGATGGGGAAGAGAAGGACAAGCTACAGGCATTTGATAGGGAAAATATCACTATGGTAGTAATGGGAGTTCAAACATTCACTCATAATTATTCTCCAGATCACAGTCCCTATTACAAGAGAGTATGTGAGGAGCAAAATATTTATGACTTCTCATACCAGTTAAATTCAGTAATGTTAAATCATTTTAATCAAAAGCATAAATGATTAACAAAATAACACATTCCTCCAGATGATACATATGATCATAAAGCTCATTCCTCATTAATTATTAAAAACAATTAGGAATTATTTAAGTGGGAAAACTTCCCAGTTATTGTTTCAAGTCAACATTGAACAGAATAATATTACAGTTGCTTTTCTTCTTTTGACATCTTAAAACACACAAAGTGGAATTTCCCCCAGGAATAGTCGCCAACACTGTGCAGAAACTTGATGGAGTTACATGCTTGAGCTGGGGACTGGAAAGCAGAGTCCCAGCCTGACCCTGTTCAGCCTTACCACCCTTTACAACTAATTGAAACAAGGAATGGAAAGGGAGGGGTAAGAGGGCTGAACACTATTAATAAAAATATCTAAAGGACAGTGCTTACCAATTTACAGGTCAGCATAGTAGCGTTTTCACAGCTACATTCTGAGAAGAGAACGAGAAAAGCATATTAGTCAGTTAGCTAATTGTTAGCTTTTGTTAACAGCAGTGACTAAGGAGTAAAGTTATAATTACCACAGTGCCATTCTGGACAACACTGCCCAGGTGGTTTTTCCTTCACAAGTATCATGTCATCTGTGCAATTCATAGGAGGCTCAGAACAGAGATTTTCATCACAAACTAAATGGGGGGAAAAGACAGGTATGAGAATTTACTCAAATTTCCTTTGAATTTTCCAGCTTATATTTCTCTTAATAAACTATTCTAAAAATAATGATATTTTTTGTAAATTTTTATTGTGTTTCTTAAGCATCTCAATTATACTTGGAACTGAAAAAAACCCCAAGGTTTCCAAAAGTGCTTTTAGTTGCCTTAGAACAAGTTTAAATTTTCAGAAAACACCACACGGCAATCATTTAATATTCTTCCTACTTAAGAGTGACTCAAGCCAATAACAAGTACCAAAGACAACTAAAATCACAGCTTTTGGAAAAACATGGGTTTTTAAATCTAGGCTTTGTTGTAAAGCACATTTCTGTAAGATAACAGAGAGCAACTGCCTCCTGGGATGACTCTAATAAGAGAATATTTGCCTGTCTGACTGGAGGAGGCTTACTGGGACTCTGAAAAAAGACCACATACTAACTGTCTAGCTGCTAGAAGTTGGCAAAAACAGTGACAAAAGCCTGGGTGCAAGTACTAGGAAAAGGAAAAGACCAAAATGTGGAACCACCTGAAGTAAAAATCACTAAGCTCCAAACTTACTGGAAGACAATTTAATTAATTGAAATTACCCGAAGACTGTAATAGGACAAGAGTTAATGCAGGAACACTCCACTGATCTAAATTAAGCAGTTATGCTTATAAACATTGGTTAAGAACACACAACACAATTTCTGTGTTTTATAAGGCTAACAAAGTGACTGTGTTACACTGCAAATATTTTTCTTCTGACTGCTCATTGTTTGAATAGTAGTTAACTCAGCAGTATTTGAAACCCTTGGCCTACTCCTTCCCCTAAAAGCTAACAGTGCAAAGAAACTGCCTGAACACTAATGAATGGTACAACAGAGGAACAACAACATGGAAGCTGTTTTATTACGGGCGTTTTAATAGATAAACAATTGTATATTTATACTCTAAGGATGGGATTCAGTTCCACATTAATATATCGGTATTTAGGTCACCCTGAAAGTAGCTATATACTGTCTGGTGAACTAAATAACCTCTCCAGACTCCATTGACTGGGTAGGTTAGACCACCACTGAGTATACCAAGAACTTTGAACCTACCTCAAATGCAGACACCCTCATTTAGATCTCTTAATCTCTATCTGAAGCCCACCCTAAATGATGAATCAAAAAAAGCTCCACATACACACACCGTCTGTCACTTTTGGTAACGTATTGAACTGACAACAGTTATACTCACCGCAGTAGTAATGCGGACAACAGTAATGTATGGTATTAAGGTCTACAGTGAGAATTTCCCCTTCATTACACAAGGGAACAGGCTCAATACAGGATTCACAAACTAAATTAAAAAAAAATCAGACATTTATAAAGTTTTAAGTACAAAAGTTAGCACATGTGAATTCTATTTAATAGATTATGTAACATCATATTATGTTTGTTACTTGGATAACAGAGCTTTTATGGATTGATATTCAAATAGAAAAACATAACAAAGTTCAAGTATGATGTTCAAATTTATGTTGGAAATTAAAGATCCCAAACCCCAAGAATAATTCATGTTCCAGTCAGCCTGACCTGTGTGAAGTCCCACTGAACTCTCCAAGAATTCCTGGCTTAACTTACTAGGTTTGTAACTAAAGACTGTTTTTGTAAATACTTAACTATTCCTTAGTTATCCATAAAAATATTAGAGGCTTCTTACCACAGAGATAAGAGAAACAACAGGGATCTTCCCGTTTTGCTTCAACAATAAATTGATCTTCTCTGCAGTCCGGCTGGGAAGCATTGAAACAAACTGAAGGATCACATTCTGTAGGATGTGAAATAAACAGTATTTTAAAGAGTCACAGGAACAATACTAAAAAGGTAAAGAAAAGATATTCTTCATCTCCTTAGTAAAACGAAACACCCCAAATTGACTGAAAATCAAAAGTGACACAAAACACAAACACAAAAAAATATTGGAGAGTGTGAAAAAAAATACATCATTGCCTGGTGCTATTTACAATGTCCCGTTCTGTTAACAATCAAAACAACTTGTAAGGCAAATTTTCTTACAACACATAATACAAGTGTGGAAAATGTCCCAGTAACTGTGTTGGTGTATTTCCCTTACCACATCGGTACTGTGGACAGCAGGACAGGGGGTGGTAGCCTACCACTAATTTTTCACTGGGTTTGCATGTTGGAATAATGGTGTCACACAATGACGTGTTACATTCTGTGGGATAAAAAACAATCCATTTTGACATATTTGAACAGATACAAGTGCAAGTGCTAGAGCTCAAGATATTTATACCATCTAGTATAGAGACCCACAAACTAAGAGCAGCCCAAGTCAGCTTAAGGGGCACTCCGTACCATCACATAGATGTCCGAGCTCAACCCAGGGCTGGTATAGCTCCATTGATGTGGCACTGTGCAAGCACAGTTATATCCCTCTTAAAGCAGGTATTTACTTGCTCTGCTTCCTACACATGAAGCCAGCTAAAATGTCCCAGTGAAAATATTCCCTAAACAAGTTGACAATACTTCATTGTTGGTTGTTGGACAACATACAAGTGTTGGTTACAGGTATCTAACTAATGAGCAAAAACACCGTATCAGCTGGATCGTTTGTTCTCATTTTCCTTGAAGATGTTATGAAGAAATAAGTATCTTTTGCTCAACGTTTTAGGAGCAATAAGCTTATTCCTTTTTCTAACAACCATGGCTAGACAGAATATTAGTATTCAGTGATCAGGTCACAGAATACTGCTTCTGGGAAACAGTGGTAGGTCAGAGGATACTGCTCTTGACACCAAAGCACTAATAAGAAAAGCAAACAGGCTCTGTTGACTTCCCCAATTACCAAGGTACTTCTATCATTGAGTATCTATCAATTTCTTTTGAAATTCCACCCAAGAGCTTAACAATTCATTTTTAATAGAAGTTTTGTTTCACTAGTGGACTCCTAAGAAAAACAAATTATTTCAGTGAGTCAGTTCTTAGAAAGAAAAGAAGCCTGTTTTGCTGGCCCAACCAGCCACAAGTACCTAAAAATCACTTCTGAAAAATGCTATCTTGAACCCTGTCTAAAGATTGTCGTCTGCCAGTGAATGTCAAGCGCTTACCTTATACTTCTGTTACTGAAAACAAGTGTGGTACATACCACAAACTTTCTTTGGACAGCAAGCTCTCTCTTCGATAACATGGACGATAACTTCCCCTTCCCTTTCACAGACTGGTGGTGGATCCTCATTGCATTCAGGTTCTACAGCAACAACGCTTCCATTTTCTAAACACTTGTACATGCAACAGCCTCTTATGGACCCATTCCAGATCTCCCCAGCAGAGCGGGGTTGTCCTTTGTTATCTGTACATGCTGAGAGAAAAAAACATTATATCCCTTCAACAAGTAGAGAGCACAGATTTCCTGCAAGCAACTATGAATGGCATAAAATTATTGCACAAAATAAGAGTGCTGTGGAGCATTGCGGTCAAGGAATCCAAGAAAAAATAATGACCTTAAAACCCCCAAATGAACAAATGCTTCACTATGGGTGAAAATAAATACTGAGTGCACGGGAAAGAACCTGCCCATGCTATTTCTTCCTGAGTATTCCAGGAAAGAAAGCCTGGGAGCTATGGAAGAATGACCATCATTTTTCCCCAACAGAAGTACATCAGCACTGGGTCTTGAATCCAAGTGAACTGCAAGCACAAACTGCTGTAGCTTGAGATAAAGCTAGGCTCTGTTGAAGGGAGCTGTACCAGATTCACACTTACTGAGGACTGACACAGAACTTAAGCATTGCTTACACTGAGCTGCAGTTAATATTAGCGTATCTGCAAAACCACTCTGTCCTGCTGCACTTACTACATTTTTCTTCTGGTATACAGAGGTCAGAATCTGTTCTATGCAGAATAGTGCCATTTTTACACACACAGTCTTCCCTTAAATAGGAACAGGGAGAATCTTCATAGAACCATTTATTCAAGCATGTCTTGGCTTCACAGGGTTGCACACAAGGCTGGTATTCTTTGCCCTCAGGACAACTCAATGCTGCAAGTCATAAAAATAGGACACTGAGTGCTGCTGTTACTCTTTCAGCATTTCATTGGATAAACAGGTAGTAAGAACAAGTGAGTGTATCATAGAAAGCATACATTTATATTTTTAATGGTACTTCAGGCAAGCAACTCATTCAATCAAGATTAAAACTGATTCATCACACTTTGACTAAAACAATACATCTTGAGAACTTGTACCCTGATTTACTAATGCTGTGATAGAATGAGATGGTACTTCCAATAACAATAGAAAGAAATACATTTTTAACTCCTCACTAAACACTGCAGCAGTGTAAAGCCACATTGGGTTATAGGACATGGCTGTCTGCTTACAACAGTAGTCAGGTGTCCTCCATTTAATGCAGATGTTGTGCTTGTTGCATAAAGCCACATATGCAGAAAGTGCATCACACTCATAATTCCAAAAATAAGTACTGTTGATCCACATCTTCTCACAAAACTCCTGTGGTGACACCTAGGAACATATTGTAATTGAGAATTAACAAGTAGAAGAGCTTTCGGTAATTAAAATAAATCATTAATTACAAGAAATAATACAGCTGCAAGGGAAAAAATCCCAAGTGGTGTCTAAAGTAAAAAATACCATTTTTTTCAGAACACTCATTCTGCAGAACTCAAACTGCCAGAATTTTTTGTGCTCATTAGTAGGCACAGAACACAGTCCTAATGAGACTGTCACACTACTTACAAGAACTTTTGCAGTTTAGCCCTGTCAGCTAAAAGTCAACAATCTCAGATAAACATTGCTGCTATACCTTCCATAAATTCCTGATGTGAATGAATTATTACTCAGTCCTCTGTTTCTGTGTCTATAGGATCCAATAGCCTATGTTACTTGGTCTAAATGCAGGTGGTCCAATCTATCGTATTTCTGTTCTTATTTGCGTAAGCTTATAGCAAGGTGGAAAAAAATCAGATTTTGTTTCATTCTGCCTGTTCACTACTGTGCTGCAGCCCAGCTCTCCCTGTGGTTTCAGCAAATCTTCAAGCACTCGCTTACTTCTGCCATAAAGTTCATTACACTGATGACTCTGTTACCTATCCTTGTCCAGTTGCTTCATGCCTGTGAAGCACACAATACACTCCATCCGCTCTGGCTCTGCCACCATCGGGTATACGAAAGAAAACAAATTTCATAAAGGATGAACCAAGTGCTTGGCAGTTTTGATGCTATGTCAGGTTTTGCTATAAACCAGGAAAAGATGCAATTGCATTGTATCTAAGGCTATAAGAGTTCTCCTGGAAACATATATGAAGTAGGACTTCTGACCATTCAGATTCCCTTTGATTGTTTTAAAAAGAGATGTGTTTAAACAATTATGAAAAGCATCCTGCTACCCACTGGTGCTACTCTCCTTTCTTGATTCCAAACTGCTTACCACTGCTCCCTCCCATTAAGTTTCTGTGGCAAATATCTATTAATCTTTTCTTTTTTTTTAAATCTCTTTAACGCCTTCCTTTCAGAAGAACTCCCTCCATTTTTTTCTACGTGGGGAAAGTGAGGAGAGGCCTTGGGAGTTTGAAGGAAGGGGCTCAGCTGCCTGCAATACCTTTAACAGCATTTGTCTGTGATGAAAACTGAAGAGTAACACAATGCAAACTGAGGGTGGAAAGACAGAACAGCAAGAAGTGAATCAGGAATCTGGACACATCTATCTCTGAGAAAGAAAGGGCCACTTGAATAATTAATCCTTTTTATTTTGAATTAAGTGGGAAAAGTGTGTCAGACCTCTGAGATTTGGAGCTTCCTCATTTCCCATTCCGGGAAGCAGCTGTGCTGCACTACCCACCTCTAGTGGTAGTCTGCATGCTACAGCTATATTCCCTGCAGAAAGTACAGTGTCCAGAAACAAATGATGATTTCTGTAAGAAATGCTACCAAACTGTCAATGTGATAGTGCCTATGGCAAAATTTGTTTAACTAGAAATTTCTTTAGTCAGATTAGTCTCAAACTGAATGAGTTGCTGTTGTATGCAGCAGAAGCATGAGGCTTTCAGTTCTAGTGATCCGTGCCAAGCATTTATCAAAAATAACTCTTTGGGAATGTGTTTGTGTTGAGATGATGATCTGATGTCTCTCCTTTGAGCTTTGCCTACTCAATAATTTAAGAAACAGCATAATAGCATAAGAATCCATATAGATGTGTGTTTACAATGGACAACATGACAAAAGTATTAAAGCCAACATGACAGAGGTATTAAAGCCACCCATCCAGTTGTCAACTCATGAAAATAAGCAAAACATAAAAATATGCATATCTCTCTCACTCTTTTCTTAACTATACATCTTTTATTTAATTTGCACCTGGAATGTCTCTGATCTTTGTACTCACTTTCTTGTGACAAGGGATGAAAATGCTTCTGTTTAACAGTTCCATACAGTATGTGCAGTTATCTTCAGTACAGTTTCTTACTGGCCTCCTGGTTGTTGCATCAAGTGATTTCTCGATTTCCCAACTCTTAATGAACACTTCAATTTCCTCCATATTTGTAATTACGGTCCTGTTTTGCATTTTCAGGTCATCAGTAGGATCTCCATTACACACCCCTGGAGACAGAGCATCACATTCAAAGCACAAAAAAACCATGCCACATTACTTCCTTTGGGAAAGAAAAGTACACTTGGTAAGATTAACATTGCATCAGGCTCACCTGTGAGACTTAGTCATCTGAATTTATAAATGAAAGCAGCTATATGTCCACTGTAGTTCCAACTTTCTACTTGTGATTTTAGTTGTCAGCTCAACGGCTTAGCAAAACAAGCAGACCACACGATACAAGTAATGATACTTTTCCCAACAATGAATTAACTTTTGAGAAAAACTGCTACCAAAATGTGCCGTCGAGTGTAGCAAATTCACTGACATGGCACCAGATTCTGATCTCATTCTACTCAATAGCAATCGGCTCCATGGGAGTCAATGTAGATGGCTTTCAAATTAACTGCATGTTGCTGATGATTTGATGCTGTATTGAAACTTAATTGAACATTCTGAATGCAAGAAGTTATCAAAGGAATCTTTTGATGAGCAAATTGCTTTCTCTAGAGAAAATATTTTTCTAACTCAATTTATTAATACAAAACCACTGAAAAAAGTGCCCCACACAAACCCCTGACATCCACTGGCTACCTGAATTCATTATTGTATGTATTCAGTTAATTCATCAGTGAAAACATATACTTCCTATACGCACATAACAAGTCATTAATGCCAAAATTTTTATCTTCATAATAGTGTTTTACATCCCAGGGACTGATCAGCCAAAGTTTCTATATCCTTTTTTCACTTTCCTTCTGCATTTCGACCCACACCCTAAGTCCTTGCCTTCATGCTTCCAGCCCCGCATCCTGGTACTCTCCAGGGTCCCTTGTTAGACCTGGGCTAGCCTGGCGTGACAGGCTCTGTCATTCTCTCAGACAGCATAGAGAAATACAGAAGATGGTATTTGCATGATAAGAAGCATTTGACAGTAGCACCGCTTTCCAGTATTCTTAACACTTCTGCTTCTTGCTGGTGTCCTAATGCCATCCCACAAACTGTGCTGGCGTTACAGAATTGCAGAATCAATACAGCTTTAAAAAAAAAGCCAATTTACCACATAGTCCTACAATTTTCAGTAGGAGAAGGAGAGGAGAGGACAATCCCAGACAGGAACAAATGGCATAGAACAGGAAAGAAGCACTAAAGGAGGCTTCAGACTTTACTGCAAAATGTCAGGCAGAGCAACACTTTACAGCGGAGGTTGGAGTTGTCTGCATAGTCTTCCTCTTTCTCTATTTTCATGGCACAAAGAGTAACAATTCTATAATCCTTCCTACAGTTGACCTCACCTCATCCCAATCTTTTCCAGCATGCATAGAGAAGATGGCGTGATAATGGGAAAAGATGCAGTACCTGCCAGGGCCAGCATTCACCTTCTCTCAGTAGATCTAGGAGAACTTTCCTTTTGTTCAAGCAGGATATAGCAATTGATTTTAAACACTTGATTTTTTTATATGTATATTTAAACCATGTCTGATTTGTTTCATTTGTTTCTAAAACTAAAAGCAGTTTAAAAGACTATAAAAGTTCATTTTCCTGTTCAATATGGGGTAGATTCTGTAAAATTACAATGCACCAGAAAGTGAACATTTATGGTAGAATTAAAATAACTCTAAAATACCTGCTTACACTTTTCCATATAATTCATATTGGCAGAGTTATAAAAAGGCTACCAGGGAGGCCTGAAATATGCTAAATTTACTATCATTGTAATTTAAGCCTGAGACACCTCAGCACAGTTTTGGACTCTAGATCCAACCTTAAGAGGTCTGAATTTGGATTCACCATCCTCAGGGGACTTGGACCCTTCCCAAGATACACCTTTTATTAGTATTTGCATAGAGATAAGCTGCCACTGCTAACATCTGACAGTTATTCTTTTCTCCCATAATCACTGAAATATACTGTCACTCCCTGAACTTCTTCAGCAGCCACTTCTCCATTGAAAACTTTCCCCTTTTCTCTACTTGACTTCAACAACATTCTTAAACACAGGCAGAGATGAGTACATTTTTTAAAAGTTAATTAGATACAATGTATTGATCATTACTTGCTCTGAAAATTACTTTATTAGCAAGCAGTGCTTTGAAACAGAATTATTGATTTATTATTATTAATTAATAGAATTTCACAAGGACTCCTCAAATAGGATTATCAGTGTAGTTAATGGGGGTCACAAGGAGAGCTATAGGGACAGCAGGTCACAGACACAAAAGGGAGATGTAAATCTTAAATGGGAAATTATTAAATAAGAAAAAAATTGCCACCATAGCCTCACCACAAAGTCCTTCTGTCTTCATTGGTGTGTTAGAGTGTAATCCATGCTGTATATCTATGATGCCTGTAATGTGAGCCCACTTGATGCTAATACCAGCTGGGGTATTAACGATGTACATTGCACCAGTATCCTGAATACTCAGTCCTTCTTTTGAAAATGGTAATGATTGAATTACAGAATCCACTACTACCTAAAATAAACCAAATACATTTTAGGGATAAAAACAGATTGTGAAGATGTATTTCATCTGTCTTTACATCTTGTAGCAAAAGGTATTTTTTACAGCCTCTGCCACATGCAATAACAGTCACAGTGCTTAAATCACAGAGCTTCTCGTCAGTGCCATTTCCCATAACTGCAAATGAAGTAGGCATGAGAAAAAATAATGATACAGAAATCTTTTTAATTAAGGAAGCAATAAACCTTATTTATCACACGTCGTATGATAAAACAACAAAAAACCCTCATCCCAATTATTCAAAGTTATCTGTTCTGACCTGTTATTGACTAGCAGGAAAGGCAGCTTAAGTATTTATCATGTCTTGGAACATTTCTGTTCGGTTCTAGGTTAGCTGGAAATATAGTCTCAAGTATAAATGACTTCTGCAGCTTCTTTAAAATTTCAAAAGAACTTTGAAGTGTCATTTTGGATAAATGACATATAAGTGAAACATGGTATCAGACATGTATATTGTTTGCTTCTAGCACACCATGAATTACTGGGAACCTGAACCGCAAAAGTAATCCTAATCCTGTAGTACCTTCACTGTAAGTCTGATCTATTGCATTCTACAACAGAATAGCTCTCCAGTTATCTTTTAAGTGTACACATGCTATGTACTGGTGATATATACTTACTTTTCTTGCTAAACGATTGATAAGTAATTTATATGTACGTGTTGTTACATTTAATTTCTTAAAACAGAGCCCTGAAGTGCTTGCAGGGGGAACCTTGAAAGAAAAGTGACAAACAAGTTTAGTTACTATTGTTTTTCTAATTCTGTACCAGTGCTACAGCGAATTTTTTCAGTATGTGTAATATTAGTATTTTATAATTAGTAAAAGAAGAAAGTACTCACTGGTTTTCTTATTGAATTTGCACTCTGGAAAACATTAAAAAATAGATTAGAAGTGCAATGATAATCAGCAGCATTCTTATTTGGCAAAAATAAGTTGACTGCTTTCTTTGTGTTTGAAGAAGTTCTTCTACAATCAGCTTCATAATTAAACTAAGTTAGTATATTCCTTACAAATAATAAAAAAATACACATTTCCCAGCTAATGTAGTGCACCTTTCTATGAACTATTTTTAGAAACTTGATTTACGTGTTAAAGATTTAAATGAAAGGGGTTTATGTGGAAAATAATACAGAAAAGAGAACACAATGACCTGAACAAGTTGAATTAAAAATACATAGAAATACGATGGTCATGCCAATAAAATTCCCTGCCCTGACTTTGGTAAAACTGCTGTTTTAACAAGTCATCTTTCTGCACAAGATTGCAGCTTGTATATACCATACCTCAGCTAGCTTTTAACTAAAGAGCTTTAACATTGAGAGCAACTCATTACCAGCATCACGAGATTCAGCATATGCTGCAAAGCCCTTTCAAAAAATATTTCTTAAAGAACTACAGCTACAGACTTCTAAAGCTCATCTGCCTATGTGAGCTGCGTTCACACCTTTAGACTGCAACCAAGAAACAGTGAAGCGAGCAATTTAAAAGAAAACCTCTAAAACAGCATAAGACTTGGGACTTAAAAATCCGAGTGAGATTAGATAAGAGACCAAACAGGGATGGGAAGGAAGGAAGCTTGATGAAGTTCCTCATCAGGAACTTGTTTATCCACAAACCAAAGATGGAAATACAAACCAGTTGTTCAAGGGTTGCATAAATTAGGACTATGGACAATGCAAAGGAAATGTATGTACAGACTCTAAGGATGAGACCGACGTGACCTAAACTGGCAGTCTAAAAATAAAGTGGCTGGATCCCCTCTGTAGGCAATGCAGAGAGATAGACAACTACACAGATCAACTCATCACACTAATCCCAAACCCATTAATACCTTCCTAAAATAACTACAAAATATTTTTGTGACTATTCAAAATAATTTAGTATTTTGACCGTATTGTAAAGTATAAATTCAGGGCCTCAAGGAGATTTGTGGGTGGAGAGCCTGAAGTTATTCAGAAGTTATGTCACCCCTGATAATTTAAAAGGAACCTACACTTGAATTTGCATATAACATAATACAACAATTACTATTTAACCTGAGATAAAATTATTTTATCTAGACAGCATAATGAAGCATGCTCCTTGAAAATTAAATAACTTGCCATTTTTCAATGGGTATGGCTTTTATCTGAAAGTTTTAAGTGATACATTTTTGCAGAATTTCATATTTATAACATAAAAATTCAAGAAACTATTACAATTATTGTGGAAATGCAAGAATCTTACCTGATTAGCAGGACATTTTTCAATATGAGCAACGATAATTTCTCCTGGTAACTTGACTAAAATGTAGGAAGCCATATTACAGAGAGCTATGTTGTTTCCATCGAATGTAATAACACTCAGTTCAGACAGTACAGAACATTGACCTAAAAAAGAACTGTCATTTAATGAGGTTACCACAAAACCGAATGCAAGGCATTTCTAAAAACTTGCAGTTTTAGCAATATTTGCTTTCATATGAGATATGTTCATATATATATAGATGACCTTGTTCTGCAGACAGCATACTGAGCCCTAAGCAGAAGCAAGTATCTTACATTACTTAGTGGAAATACCGTAACCTACTGCTATGTGTCCAGGGTAGGGGAGAAAGTTTGAATTGGTGAAAGTTTTCTCTTAAGTCAGTGTTTTACAGGCAAGGTCAATGAATCTGTACATTGTCAGATAGAATATATGCATATTTTTGAGATACTGATAACAAGAGACTGATCTGTCCTATCTTGAGACAAATATTTAAAAGTGCGATATTGGTTTCAGTAATGCTGCAAGGTTTTGAATGTGACTTCTCTTTGGCCTTTTTGTTCCCTTGGCAAGCAGTCATCTGCCAGTTTCTGCAGCTTCTAAATATGAGTAAAAACTGCAGTTAGAGTTAACTGAAATTTGGGGGTTCTGTCTTTCAGAAAAAGCCAGTATTTAATTTTTCTTCTTCACAAAATGTTGAAACCTCAACATTTCTACTGATAGAAATTCTGAAAAGTCTCAGCTGGAAAATGTTGATGTTCATGTTGCAGATTTCATTTCAATGTTTTCATTCAGAACAAAATATTTTGACTCTCTTGAACGTTAATTCAAAGATACCAAAACATTCACTATATTTCATTCTGTTTTGCTGATGAACAGCTCTTTCAAATTCATTCCAGTATTCAACCTCATATTCCCCCTGTAATAAACCCTTAATTTATTACTTGAAATTTACAGATCATGTTGTACTTAAAAATAAAACAGTGACTTACAGGGACATTCCCATTCTGGGCAACAACTATCAGTGTTAACTTGAACTGGCATTCCTCGAAAACCACAGTCTGGCTTCTGCACATCCTTAGGGCAGTTCCTTGAAAGGTTGTATAACATCCAGCCTGTGTTAACACATACATACTGGCTACATTTGTCGACAGGTTCAAGGTATCTTGGCTGTCATATAAGGAAAAAACAACCAGAATCAACATTCATTGCCCTTATGAATTCCAAATGATCACTTGTTTATCGCCCTGCTCTGAGACAGAATCAGGGTATCTACGTGACCCCTCATCAGTTATTTTGGAATTAATTGCTTTTGTGTGGTTGTAACAGGTGATAATGATGCACATCCATTCACCCACACCCTTCCTGTTCCATCTAGCTTTGGTGGAATACTCTATGAAAAGCATTATGCATTGAGGCTACATGTTATATTCAGTAATAATCTGAAGCATTTTAAGAAATACAGAATCATGCATTCCTATCATTTTAAACCCTATGACAAAGAAACAAATGGAAAAAAAGAAAGACAGGGTGCAATTATGCAGAAACCCAAAAATTCCATGGATTATGGCTTTTTCTGCACCTCAGAAATATATTTCGCTATCTAGAATCAGCACATAGCTTTAAAAGCCATTTTTTTCCAGAGCAATACATCCAAGTTGCAGAATATATCAGGGCAGTACAAGAGCAGCGATACAACAATCCTCTAAGAATAATTGAGTATTTTAAAATATACAAATAAAAACAAAAATAGGAGATATTTAAAATCTCTGGTATTACATATGTAGCATAACAGAATGGATTGAAAAGCAATATATATTTTAACACATAGGGGCAAGTAAAACTGATCATACCACACATTCGGAATATGTAGACATCAGTGTATGCATCATTGTACCAAAGGAAGCCTTGTCAGCTATAGCTGTCATTGTTTCTGTGCTTGCCGGAGAAGTTTGTGTTTCCACAGGCTCTGAAGAGGAAGGCAGAGCCGTTCCACCACTAGAATGAGTTAAATCTATTATAGTTCTGTTCTGCAGCTCCGTGGGCTCCGTTAAACTGAAATAAGGTTTAATGGTTTTCTGTGTTGGGATTTTGGACCAATCTGATGTTGTTACATCTGGGAGTCCAGAAAGAGAGAGATTTTTTACTGAGGTTGTATTTCTTGAAAAAGACAAACTCTGAACTGCGGATACTGTCAAATAAGGCAGGGAAGATTTCTCAGTTGTGGTTGACTTTGTCTTGGTAACATTTCTTTGCTCATGTGAAGTATGACCACTTTCTAAAATATCCACAGTTCTTTCAAATGAGGTTGCATAAACTTCTGAAGCTGTAAATAAGGTACTCTTCATCTGTGATAATGGACTTGTAGTACCAGTTGTTTTCATGATCATCACTTTTGGAGTTTCTTTAGTGCTCTGTGAAGCTTGAGTTGCTGCAGATGTAAATTCACTTTTATTTTCTTTAGTGCTTTGTGAAGCTTGAGTTGCTGCAGATGTAAATAAAGATTTGTGTGACACATCCATGGGTGTTTCTGTGGTAGTAGGAACTGAAGCTGAAGCCATATGAAACTCCAAATTGGCAACAAAGGAATCAGTGGTTTTTGTAGTAATCCTAGAGGCTACAGTAGTGCCAGAAGCAACTAATAAACTGGCTGATTTTCTTTAGTGCTTTGTGAAGCTTGAGTTGCTGCAGATGTAAATAAAGATTTGTGTGACACATCCATGGGTGTTTCTGTGGTAGTAGGAACTGAAGCTGAAGCCATATGAAACTCCAAATTGGCAACAAAGGAATCAGTGGTTTTTGTAGTAATCCTAGAGGCTACAGTAGTGCCAGAAGCAACTAATAAACTGGCTGAAGAGCTAGGTAGTATTTTTGCAAAAATATAAGGTGCTTTTAAGGATGTAGCATTCACTGTTGTGTTCGTGACCATTGGTGTAGTGGATTGAGTGATGATTCCAGCTGATATGGCGGATATTGTTCCATCTTCTTCTGAAGAACTTACCGAAGAACTCTGTTTTCCTACAGAAACAGTAGAGATACGAGTGGTCTTAGGAGAAGGTGAAGACATAGAGACTCTACTGGACTGGCTTTCTAAAGTGGCTTCAGGATTTGTAGGCATTAGTAAAGAGGGCATTATAATGGATGTTTTTAACACTGCTGAAAGGCTGGTAGAAGGGCCTATGTTTAAAGTGAATGTAGAAAAATCTACAGAAGAAGTTGCAAAGTCTATAACTGGACTTTTTGAGGTTCCTTGTGTATCTAGAGATGAAACCAGTGTTTGGGTAGCAGTTATATTTTGTGTTAATGACAATGTCCTACTGAATATGGGAATCAATGAAGAACCTGAAGTATGAGATGTCACATAAGATGGTACTGATGTTGATAACAAGATTGTAAATAAAGATGATGACCTTGTAAGAGAAGGAACTTTAGGAAAGAAAGTGCCTGAATTTTGTGCCACAGGGTCAGTTTTCAGTTCTGTATGTGAACTGCTTGGGTACTCTGTAATTTCTGAAGTGCTAATTAATGTAGCATTTAGAGGTAATACCAATGTCCTAAGAGGGAACACTGTAGATGTAATGGATTTCTTTGGCTTTTTAGAAATGGATGACACTGAAAAGGAATCAGTGTGCATTATGTATTTATTTTCTGTTGAGGCTTTACTTGTTATAGACATATCAGAGATTGTTGGATTGAACAGAAGAGTGGAAGCAGTGGAAGGTACTTTATAAAGACTTTTGGAGGCAACAGTGACATCTGCCATAGCTTTGGGCTTCAGGGAGGTAATCAGAGAACGCACTGGTACAGATACTGTGTGTGTTACAGAAGGACTCGAAGAAGTGTTTATAGGGATTTGAGAAGCAACTTGAGGTGAAGATACAGTCATTATGGGTAGAGGAGCAGAAGTACTGCCTTTTATTAATGGAGATGTCTGCTTGGGAACAGTCACTGACATTTCCACTGAAGATAAAAATGGCTGTGGAGAAAAACTAGCTAAAGAACTTGCATTTAATGATATCAGAGAAGTTTTAGACAAGGGTTTTGCTGATTCAAAATATGGAGCTGTGATTAATTGAGGAAAACTTGTCTCAAAGCTAGAAAATCTAGTAGTCATAGGAATTTGAGGAGCAGTTGAAGTCAGTGTAGAAATGGGTGTTGGGTGGACTGCAGTTTGACCAACACCAGACCTAGTTCTAACAGACAAAGTGGATATAGGAGAAGTAGATGTGCTTAGTGTCAACCGTGAACCTAGAAGAAATACAGGTCTTGTGAAAGTTGCTCTGCCAGCCAGCAAAGCAGACAAAGACACTTCAGAGGATGCTGCTGCTCCCTTAGAATGACTTACTGAAGGACTCCTACTCTTCCCAATCCCTGCAGGCAGCTCAGAAGTGACAAAAGATGGCTTGGAGGTTAAAGTCATTAATGCTGAGGTAAGGGGAACAGTTCCTAGCTGAGTGGTTGATGTTTCAAGTGGAAATGGAACTACCACTAGGGAAGTGGGTGTTAATAATGCAGAACGTGTTGGAATAGGACTTGCACTGAGCAGGGTTGTTGGAGTTGCTATTGTAATGGGTAAAGTTATAGACGCAGTAGAACTGACAGTACGTGATGTGACTGCTGAGGCTTGAAGAGCAGTTGGAAAATCTGTTGAAGAGATGAGTTTGGAAAGGACAGCAGGGCTGGCTGTGCTGTGAAGTACATCAGAAGGCTCCACTGTACTTGGTAATGAAAATGTTGAATGGGTGGCTGCATTAGATGCTTCCAATGAATAAAAGTCTGTAATGGACTGTGCCGACATATTCATTCCCCTTAAAGTTGTGTTTGCCTTCATGGTTATTTTGGCTGTCACACCAGTATGAGTTGACTCAGTCCCTGAAGTAACAAATAAAGGAGGTGTCTGAGGAAATCTCTCCATGGTAGCACCCGTGTGAGAGATTAACAATGAAGGTTTTGTTCCAATTGCTGATTCTGTAGGTGTCACAGGAATGCCTAAAAGGAAAAATGCATGTTTCACTGTCTTTTATGGATTATTGGTAAAGCAAAATAGCAACATCTCTCTCTACTCAAGTCCCATTTAAATATTAACAAATCAGCATCATTTTGCTGAGAAGATAACTTGCCTGGTTATAACTTGAATGGTTCTAGGTTGCCTGATGACTTTGAGGAGCTCAGCTGACTCAAGAAGTTTTCTAATTTTCTTTGCAAATGGAGTAGCTATTTTTTTATTATTAGTGAAAACCTTGATTTTGCAGAGCAGTTTTGAAGCAACAAGGGAATTCCATGGAAAATTCAGTAAATCCAAAATAGTAAAATATTTGGCATAAATATAGAATATGTTATCTTCTTGTATATCTTTGGAAGGTGGTATACTATATGAGTAGTATAGTATATACTATATGATTTAACTTTGTACTAGCAAATATCAAACAATGTATTTAATTCAAAACTTGTAAAATAAAATAAGAGACAGTATTAAAGTGTAATTGTTATGTTAAAAGAATACTGTATTTCCAAAATAAGCAAATAATGTGGTAACTTCACACCCCAGAAGTTATGAAATAGATGAACTGAATTTGTTAGTGGTGGCTCATCAACTGAAAAGTCTGAACTTTTTGCCATGGCAGTATTTCTTCCATTTGGGATCTTTCTCATATATACATATGATATACTAGCAGCATATAGTCAAATACAGTTGTGATGAGTATAACACCATCACAAAAGGTTAAATTTAACACACTATTAGAGAAATGAAAGAATTCAACTTTAGATATGGCTTGTTTGGATGTAGGAGATGTATTTTGGATGACTGGGAATGGAGTCTATCTGTCCCAGAGAGACATTCTTCAACAGAAAGATGTTCTGGTAAAGCATTTAATAAAAAACAACGATGTACATTTGATTAAAAACTTTCCTGGGATCTCTAGAGTGATTTATAAGATTAGACCAATATAATAAAATATACTTACAGTCTTCTGGATAAACACATTTAAGTGTGACCTCATCAAGGATCATGTTTTTGGGACAGTATGGCAAGCATCCTTCAACCCTTTAAAATATTGTATAGTTAATTCTAAAGCCACAGTAGAAATATAAATTAATTTTAAATTATTTCACTTTGGCAAAATGACACATTTGAATGTCTTCCCCATCAGAGTTCTGAGAACCCTCCAGTGTAATGGTGAACACAGCATTTTGAGGCATTTTAAGGTCAATAAGCACAATTCTGTTTCTAAATTGTTAATAACCAATTCTTTGCATAGGCTGATGAACATGATAGCTTTGGACCATTCTGCTTCCACAACCAGGTGGAAGTTCAGATCCCTAAGCGGAAAGGTTTCCCATAAGACAAAGACCTTCACTGTAAGACCGCTGTTTTACCCACATACGTTCATTTGAGACATCAAAATATTTAGACTGACTCCGTAGAAAGTCTCATTCTTGTGCACTTTCAGCATAGGAGAGTGCAAACAAGTCCATATATTTCCTTACTTTTTCATTTGGGGGGGATTTCTAATAAGAAAATCATGACATCAACAACCGGTGTACCAATATGGAAAAAGCTAAGAATACCAACAGGCAAAATTAGTAATAGTAGTAATATTCCTAATCATAAACTGCATATGCCTAGGGAGGTAGTCTGAAATTTGAAATGTCATGTCTTTTCCACCAGATTTTGTGCCTTGAGTTTTTAGGCATTTTTTCTTTTAGTTTGTTGTCGTTCCATAGATGCTAGGGGAGATCCGTGGAGACAGGAAATCTTGTAACTAAGTAACAAGATAACATCAGCAGTATGAAATCCCTCACATCATGCCAATGAGTCTCTCTCAGTATAAAGTTCCCTCCTCTTACAGGAGAGGGCGTAGTCCACCCTTACGATTCCTACAGTTTTTGATCTCTGTCATATAAACACCAGAAAGATGTAGTCGTTTACAGCATCATGGGATGCTGGTTTAAGATGTGAATATAAATCCATAGGAGGGAACAGCCTTCATTTAATTTAATAGATTTCTTCTTAACCGTTACCAGAAGCTAATCCCCTGGGCTCAGTACAAACCCTCTTATTCTTGTGTTGAAAGATCACATGTAAACAGGAATGTGTACTGTGGGAAATGAGAGGCCTGTTACAAATAGTTTCACATGACTTGTGAGAGTTGCTCACAAGGGTGATACTGAAATCTGAAAGAGTAAAAGTGAATTGATATTGCAGCTGCAGTAATTTTCAGAAAGCATATGGTAAGCATATTACAAAAAACAACACGGTAGCAATACTGAGCTTAATCTGACTTACGGAGGAAGGAATTTACATGCTATTCCTTCAGGATCACTACACGTTTTAACACAAGGATTAGCACAAGATTCATATCGCCATTCACACATCCTTCTATAAGGCACAGACGCACCGAGTTCTGAGAAAGAAGGAAAAGGTATTATTTATTGATCGTGTAGTCAATAAACTATAAATTGATAGTCTTTTCTATAATGTACATTGGGATTTTCAGAAAAAAATAAAAAATGAAAACCAAGTAGAGAAATTCTCAAGAACTTTCAAATAGGTGAGATTTTGTTCATTTTCAGTTTCAAGTATTTTAAATTCAATCAAGCTAAAAGACACTGAAGCTTCCAAGATACAATTAGCTACTCACTTTTACAATATATTCTGTTTAAAAAACTTAAAAATCAATTTAACATAGTGAAGGTACTGTTGGTTGCAGAAGCAATACAGTTACCCCATTCATTTAAAAGAATAGATATCTATAGCTCACTAACAAGACGTTAGCATGCATCTTTTTGTGACATGCCACATTCATTTCGAAAGAGCAAAACAATGAAAATGTAGTTCAAAAACGAAGTGATCATCGTATCTGCAAAAATTAGAAAATAAATAGCATTTGGAAGTGGGATGGAAGACAAAGACAGAATAGTTATTAAAAATAGGATAAAAAAATATTTGTTACTATTGCTGATGAAAGACAGGTACTCTGAAGGCAAGCAGAAAAAAAACCATACTTATCCCTGGGGGTTATGCAACATTTACCTTCAATACTCGAAGTGATCATCGTATCTGCAAAAATTAGAAAATAAATAGCATTTGGAAGTGGGATGGAAGACAAAGACAGAATAGTTATTAAAAATAGGATAAAAAAATATTTGTTACTATTGCTGATGAAAGACAGGTACTCTGAAGGCAAGCAGAAAAAAAACCATACTTATCCCTGGGGGTTATGCAACATTTACCTTCAATACTAAAGCTACTGAAACGTTTGAATTCTTCTGAATCATCGTACTTTGCCACTTTAACACGGGATGAGGTGAGAATGATGAAAAAGCCTTTTTTACTGTGCAGTTCGAAGGCACTGAGCCCTGGACTCCAGAGGCCCTGGTGATGGAAGAAGGTGGCTCGTCTCCGAAAGGAGGCACTTGCCTGCCACTGTTCCAACCCAACGGTTTCATTGTCGTGTACGTACAGAAAGTAGTTTGGTCTTTCAGCAGACTCAAGGGAAACAAGAGAGAGCGCTTCCACAAAAGAAAAAAGAAAAAAAAAAAAGTACAATTTTCACAGGAAACAACCTAAAAAGTAGATTACAATCTATATATTGGCTGTTAAGTGGCTCCTTTTAAACAACTGCTTTTCACAAAAAATATTTCAGTTTTATGTAACACAAAAAAAAATTTGAAATCCAGGGTCTAAAGGAGACTTCAAATGATCGCATAATCCAGAACCACCAGAGAGCTAATCAGTTAGATCAAAACTGCATTCAGCCTACTGCTACCAGCCTTTGAAATGATTCATAAGCAGTCTCAAATTGGGACTTGCCCAAATTGGGACAGTTTTTTCTCAAATTTGGACAAATGCCTGACAGTTCAGCTGTACCAAAATTTCATTAGTAAATAACATCACACAAATATTGTAGGAACATGCTTGACTTTACCTTGAGGTCAGACTTTTTTTTTACATTCGGTCATATCCAGCAATACAGTAAGAAAATCTGTGGCTAAATAAAAGACCTGACCCTCTATTTGCTCTACCCATGCCAGAAATCAAAATTGAAGAAAATTCTCTGACACTTCAAGAACTTAGAAGAAGACTGACTTCAGATTTGGTTGTCAACTTGAATAAAATCTTGAACTGTCTTTAATCTATACAAATACTATCTCATTCCTTACAGATATGTAAACTACCTGTGTACTGCACAGATATAATGAATATTTTTCTTACAATTTACATTGATTGGAGATTTAAAAGACTGAATTAATTCTTCTACGTAGTTTCTCATTTCAAAATCATATCTAAAAACCTAATTTCTCCACTGCAAAATTGTCAACTGTTTGTGAATATATTTTCAAATTTTACTGTGAAAACAGCCCCTCTCTGTGCTGATTTTTGAGAGTTTGGGATTCTTTCAACAAATTAAATGCTGTTAGAAAGCAATGACACAATCTGTATTGACTTAATTGGCACAAACCCAATATGTGGGAAGAAAGGAAAATATATGCAGAAGGAAAAATATTTAAACATATTTATTTTTCACTGTATAATTCAGATCAGTCTCTGGTAAGTGAAAAATAGAGCTTAGGAATAGCTGTTCACCTAAGAAACTTCCTTCTACATTGTATTGAGAGGCTGCTCACTAATAACACAGGAGACAAGTTGGTTGTTCCAAGTTGTGTGTTTGATAGTCCATTGAAAGTCACAAAAAAGAAGAAAAGATAAAGCAGAAGTGATTTTACTGGTGATAAAAATATCCTGCATTTACCTTCAGAGTTGATACTTGTGAGATACATATGCAAAATTTTCCAGTTTCCAGTTACACAATCTAATTAATTTTTTTTCACAAAGAAATTCTATTCATTTTGCAAATTTCTAAAACAAACTTTGAAAAGTCAGCTTTAAAGCTGGCAGTGAGCTTTACCAATATTTAATAAATAAATAAATAAATAAATAATCAGTATTCCTCCTCAAAAGTAGAACACTCAGTTTTGATATTGGCCACTTCATCCCCACTTATCCCAATAACTAAAAATATATAGACTATTTTAGGAGATTTAGAAGATGCAGCAAAAAACATTCATATAGTTTGAAAAACATGTATTCTCATTAGCAAAATTGTTGAGAACACTTACATAAATCTTTATCTTTGAAAAGACCTGGAGTTATCATGAAACTGAAAAATACATTTCCATATGCTCCGGTTCTAGGCAGGGGAAATATCCTTCTACTGGATATGTTAGCTCCTATAATTGTGTCATTCTCTCCATAACTTGCCAAAATATAGGGTCCTTCACCAAGACCTAAGGGAAGAAAAATCAAATAGAAAAAAATAAAATTCCTCCTTGCATAACATACAAAACTTAAATCTTAGTTGACATAATATATTGCCTTAAATATTTCACCATACCTGGAATCAAAGAAATTTGGAACTACAGCTCAATGCCTCAAGGTATTATGCTGGAGTAGGTCTGTATCTATCTGTTCAATGTATTCCCTTGTTCTTTGCTTGCTGCCCAGAACGCAACAAATACAAAGTGAGCACAAAAAAGTGTGGGTAGTTATCCTCACAAAATGACCTGTACAAGAAAGCAATCTGGGCTGCTTTTTTGTGATATTTAGTCTTTCACATGTCCTTATTTCTAAACTTTGAAAGACCAACAGAGCAACTTTAATATTATTCCCCAAATAGACACTGAAGCTACTCTAAGATCTACAAGGCAATTCCCCCCAAAAAAACAGATTTCAAATTATAAGGCTGTAATTCAACTTTTGGCAGCAATATTGCTTAAGCAGTTGTGTACTTCATCCTCTCCCACAAACCACTTGCTTCTGCCCCCTTACTGCCCCATTTATTATGCCATCCAAAGTGCTTCAGCAATGAAGTGATCCAGCTGAAAAATAACCAGCTAATTTTTCCAGTCCAGTTCACCACATCATCATTCAAAATCTCATGCTAATATAACAGTGACAACAGCTTCAGCTGGTACCAAAATGGTGCTGGCCTAACCATGCCCCGCAGCAAACCCCTGGAGCTATTTCTGCTGGGCTGGAAAGGCTCACAGGGATACAACCAGATACAACAGCATCCGTCTTTGTCACTATATCCCACTGAAAGAACCAAGAGCAGCATACTTCTAAAACCTCACCCTGTGAGTAATAAACAAAATGTGTAAGTTTTGTGAAAGCTTTTAGTCCTTACAGCAAAAAGACTGAACCCCTTTCCCAGGCTGACAGCTCCTTTCAAATATGACTCTTCCAAGAGGGAAGGAATTCTCATAATAATGAGATTTGGCTCAGCTAGAAGTTAAACACCAATTTCTGCAGAAAACTGCATGAAAATAACCACTGTTTTTATATGGAAACTATGCTGGAGCTCATATGCACATGAAGCCCACAAGCTTGCCACAAAATGACCATTGGCGAGGCAATTTATCTTAAAAAGACTCTTGATTCTAAATCATTGAATGTTTATCCCTACATATTAACAGACATTTTGCCCACGACTTGAGCAAAAGCAGAAGTGAGCTGTAATTGATAAAGTTTCCATAAAGGTTCAACAGTTTGACATCATGCAGAACAAAAAAGAATCAGAGGAGGAGCCATCCTATGTCCCGAAAGGTGTTTTGCTGGCACTTGGTGGTGGAAACGTGTAATGCCATCCTTGACTTTAACCCTGGTAGGCAGCCAAGCAGCACACAGCTGCTTGCTCACTCCCCCGTAAGGCAACTGGAGGGCAAGAACTGAAAAAACTCGTGGGAAAGGAAGGGAAGGGAAGGGAAGG